AATTTAAATTAATGAAACAATATAAGTTTTATAATTATACTTATTATTCACAAAGATTTAAAGATATGATAAAAATTTTCCCAAAAATTTTTATTTTATGAAATTACATTGTAGTCAAATCAATTTTCATTAAAATGACATATATTAAAATAATTATAATGTAATTTATTATCAATTATATGCACCACACGGATTGCGTACATCAAATATACATGTTTTATGTAATTTTACACAATTCAAATTTCATATAACAAGCACGCATGTGAGTGGGTACAGATAATAGAAAAGCCCAATTTGAAATTTTCTCTCTTTTGAGTCTCTCTCTCTCTCTCTAAGGCGATCCCCAAAAATCCCCGTCTCTCTCGCATATTTCAATCCATCCTCGTCGCCCTCCTCTCGGCCTCCGCTTGGCTGGTAGTCGGTCCCTCGCCGCTGGCCCTTCCCACTCGCTGCGACGCTGCTCGCCACCAGTGCTGATGGCTCTTGTGGTCGCCAAATCATACTCGCCTTCTCAGGCGGGCTAGAGTTTGCGATTGCAAGAATTCTCGGCGCGGTGGAGGGTCCAAGGGTCGCGGTGGGTTGGGTTAGGGCTGGTTTCGGCTCTGGCTGGTTACATCCTTGAGTCTGTTTAGTATAGATTTGGTGGGCAAGAGATAACCGAGCTACCTGACTCGGGTCGATCTCGAAGGAAGGCTATTCGGAGCTTTGTCTACTAAATGATTGCCCAAATCACAAAAAAGGAAAATAAAGTCCTAAACATTCTAAACAATTGATTGGATGGTTGATTAACACTAATCGAGCACTTAAAAACGAGCAATTAACTAGAAGCAAGACGAAATCGCGAGTATTTAGCAAACTAGATTACCGGAGTCTCATGCCATGACCATATTGGGATGATAATCAATCGACAAACGGAATAAACGAGCTACGAGCATTAGATTTCTCACCCTAGTCGTCTAGCCGAGATCAACAAGTAATTAACGGCTTTATCTACTCAAGCAAGTAATCAAATTCAAGCATTTCCACCATCATCAATCAAATCTAATTTACTCTAATGAACATTATAAGTAAAACCGGAGCAAAAATAAAGTAAAGAGCTTTAAAACTAAATACTCAATCTCCCATTGCGTAGACGATGAAAAACGGAGTCAAAAGCTCGAAACTTGAACGAAACCGAAGTCACCGGAAAATCTCCCGGAAAATAGCATAAACTCCTAATCTAG